TAATAGAGTACTAAAGGTAAGTTTTATAAATATATTTAATAAGGTTTAATCTTCTCTTATAGCGCTACTAAAATTAGTTTAGAATTAATTTATAAAGAGTTCTAGGTAACTATTAGACTTATACTATAAAGACTTAAGAAGCTTTTATTATACTTTACGTAATAGAAGAGTTCTTTATAGAAGATAATATATTTTCTTTTAAAGTTTTTAAGGTTAAACTCTATAAAGCTATATAGAAGTATAGTAAGAGTAGTATATTAAGTATACGTAGGCTAGAATAGTTAGTAATTAATTTAGAATTAGTTAGGTAGAGACAAATCTTATTAGAAAGAACTCTACTTACTATATTTAATATAGAAAAGATAGAATTAGAAAGTAAAGTAAGTTTTAGTAAATTTTATTTAGCGCTAAAAACTCTTTAATTATACTAACTATTCTAAAACTAGTCTAGTTACCTCTTAACTAGTTCTAGATTAATTTATACTAAAAGTAAACTTATAGCTTTTTTTCTTAGAGCTTTAACTTAGCCTTCTTAGTTTAGATTTAAAGTAACTTTCTTTTTTATTAAAGTTTTACTCTTTTATACTCTTTTTTAAGCTTACACTTCTTTTCTTCTAAGTCTATATCTAGATTAAAGCGTTCTCTATATAGATTAGTTCTAGATTAATCTAGAAATAGTTATACTTATAAAGCTAGTAATAAATTAGCTCTAAGAGAGAATAAAGCTAAAAGTAATAACTAGAATATCTATATACGTAAGCGCTACGCTACTAGCTAGAAGCTTAGACGCTAGTAAGGTTACTATCTTAATAGCCTAGATAATTTAAGTAATTTAAGAATATTATCTTTCTCTTTATTCTTTTTCTCTTATTTCTTATACTCTAAATAGTTTAGAATTAATCTATATATAAATAACTAAATACTTACTCTTTTTTTACTTTATATTATTATAAAAGTAGCTACTTAGACTTAAATTTTACCTTAATTTATACCTAATACTATACTTTTTATAAATCTTATATTTCTATATATTCTATAAGTCTATTTATATAGCGCTAGGTAAAATTAGTTATAAAATAATTTAAAACTAATTTAATATATAGTCTAATACTAACTAGAAGCTTATATCTTAAGCTAGTATAATAGCTCTTTATATATACTTATTCTATAGTATTTATATAGAATTCTAGTATATTCTAGATAGCTTTAGATATACTACTATAGTATATATTTAATTCTATAGTAATAATAGAGTTCTTCTTATTTTTTACCTATTCTTTAGCTATAAGTATTAGAGTATTTTCTTAGAATAGTTTAGAAACGTTCTAGAATTAATTTAGACTACTTACTAATAAGTAGATTATATAACTTAAAATACTTAGTCTAGCTTACTATAGTAAGTAGCGCCTTTATTCTACTCTATAAAGAATCTTTAATATATAGTATACTAAAATAAGCCTTATTAATAGTATAAAAAAAGTAAATAATATAGAATCTTATATAGTAGCTAAAGTAGTACTTCTAGTCTCTATTAAGCTAGTTAAGGCTAGTAAAGTACCTTCTAAATTCTAAGCTAAAATAAGCGTAGATTAATTATAAATTAATTTAACTTACTAGCTATCTACTTAGTATTTATATTAATAGTAATACTATAGAAACTATATACGTAAAGATACTACTATTATACTAGCTAATTTAAATGCTTCTTAATAGTCTAGAAAAAAGTAGTAAATACCTTTTAGTATATCTTAGAGAACTTAGCGTTAGTAGTAAAGCGCCTAAATATAATAACTATATAGATTAGCTATAGATTAATTTAGAAGTAATTTATATACTCTTTTTATAGCTCTTTAGTATAGTAGTAAAAAGAATTTCTCTCTAACTATTATAGTAGCGCTTAAAAAATATATCTACTTAAAAGGTCTTTTATTTTATAAGTAGTTTAGCTTACTTATTTTATACTTAGATAATAATATAGCCTCTACTAGCTAGTAAAATTTAGTAGATATATACTTACGTAGATTAATTTAGAAATATTTAGAAAATAATTTAGATAGTACTTATAGTAGTAGAGTTAAAATAATTTACTCTTTTTTTAAAAAGAACTTTCTCTAAGCTAGCGCCTAGAGAAAATATAATTAATCTTTAAGTAGTAGCTATTTTTATAAGGTAGTTTTTATTTACTTAAGTAGTATAGAGTTTCTTAATTAATAAAACTCTACGCTATCTTAAGTAAAAGGTAAACTAGTTAGACTATAAAAAAATAGCTAGAATAGTTTAGAAATAATTTAGAATTAATATCTATAAAATAGCTTATATCTTATAGTATTTAGTATTAATATTAATTAGAATATATAAACTATATTCTTAACTAATTCTATATCTAGCTACTAAGGTAGAGAGAGTATATACTAGTGTATACTAGTTAAAACTACTATAAAGTATAGAACCTGCTTAAAATATAAAAGAATAATAATATTAATTACTATATTATAGTTTTATAGAATAAGTTTACTTTAACTCTAAGTATAGTTAGTATCTAAAATAGTTTAGAATTAATCTAGAAATATTCTTTAAGAACTTACTATAGTCTTTTAGATATAAGATCTAGAGCTTAACTATATTATAGTTTTTATAAAAGCTCTCTACTCTACTATCTAAAAGAGCTTATAAATAAGTAATATTAATTTCTAGTAGTACTCTCTAAATATAGTACTCTATATTATCTAGAGTATAATTACTATAAATAATAAACTAAGAGGTAAACTCTATTACTTACTAGAATTAGTTAGAAATTATTTCTAAAATAGTTTAACTATATATACTATTAATTCTACCTAAAATAACTCTAAACTATAAAAACTCTTTCTACTAGTATAAATACTATCTCTAAACTAACACTAAAGCTTATTAAAGTAGCTTTTAGCTTTTCTTTTTTTTTTATTTTACTTAATTTAGCTTATAAATATCTTTATCTATCTAAGTATTTTATATAAGTCTTTATCTACCTATAAGTAAGTAAAATTCTATAATTAATTCTAAATATATTTATATATCTTAATACTAGAGTACTTAAAAATTTATCTTAAAGTAGTTAAATTTAAAAAGAAGCTAAAAGTTTTCTTTTTCTTTACTTTACTAGCTCTATAGTATTAAAACTACTTATACTAGATTAGTTCTAAATTAATTTAGAAATAGTTTATATAAGCTACTTATACTTTTAGTATTTTATAATACTCTCTTAACTAAAAAATATTACTTATTTACTTTTAAAACTTAAATAATATAAGTATAGCCTTTAGAGTTTATACTAGAGTATTAAAGTAGATATATAGTATACTTAATAACTTTAGTCTCTAAAAAAGACGCGCTACTATTTCTAAAAGTAAGTTAAACTATACTCTAGTTTAAATAAGTTTAGAATTATTCTAGAATTAATTTAACTATATACCTTAACCTAGTCTTTAATACTACTATTATTACTCTTACTAAAGCTAGATAAATATAAGTTAAATCTCTTATAAATATCTAAGTTTAATATATTAAAATTAAGAAATTTAGGCTTAGTATTAAATATAAGTAAAAAAGGCTTTATATTATAATATAGGTATAATCTAGTCTAAATTAATTTAAAATAAATCTAAAAATTATTTAAATTAAAATTTTATTACTAAGTATACTAATTCTCTTAGGTAGTATAACACTAGTATACTATATTTTAAAAATTACCTATTTATGTTAGCGTATACTATATCTTAGCGCGCTCTTAGTTAGATAGACTGTATGCACCTAGTGAAACTTGGGTTGGGTATTACGTCATCGCTTGGGCGCGACGAGACGAGGCGAGGCGGCGCTGGCGCGTTGTGTCTACCTTAACGAATTCTGGGCTCACGGCACGGTTCTTGGTGTTTGTATCAACCTTTCCTTCGCGACGGAAAAATCGCTTTTGGTACTGGTGAGGCCTGCGATGGATATCGCGTCATCGTTTTGACCCTTCTCGGCGCGCGATGAGGGCGGCGCGAGCGCGTTGAGTCTGCCCCAACTGTAAGGCGATCCAAACCATCACACCAACGATCTCTGTGCCTACGGCACGGTTTCCTGGTGCATCAATCACATCGACCTTTCCTTCGCGATGGAAGAATTGCTTTTGAAACGATGAAGCACGAGAGTGTTGTTGGGCATGTTTCGAGTACCTGTAATGCTGCGGCGTGATGATGCTACGACGTCGGGACGTCTTCACAATTGATCGCCATCACAAGGGTGATGGAAACAGAACGACAGCTAATGTGGCCGCTACGAAATGTCTGCGAAGTCAGAGACATTGGAGAGGAAGAAGAAGATGCATAAGAAGACCTTTAAAGCACAATATGATTGCGACACCAGCCCGATTGTCACACCATCTGGTCGTGAGATTATAGGTCCGAAAAAGCGATCTCATTCACGTTCTGGAAACACGAAAAGACGTTGAAGCCGGTAGAACAGGAAAGATCTTCACAAATAACGGTCAGATTTCTGCATATCACAGCCTCGCCATTGAGCCATATCCTTTCCGGTGCGGAGCAACCGTATACTAGCACTCACAGGATACCGCCTCGCATAGTATCGGCAACACTCCATCGGGTTCGGCTTCGATCCTTCGGTTTCGGCGCCGTCCATTCACATACCGCCCAACGAAGATCCCTGTCTTGTCCTATATACCCATGTCGTTCCATAAGACTTCTGTGACTGCAGGTCCCGCCATGCAGACATACTGATTATTTCCGCCTATATTGCTAGCCGAGCAGTCGGGTGTGCCAGTGTGGTATGATCGCAGCAATCAGGTACCTTTGCCACATGGAGGGTAAGACGGACGTGTTATCGGGTCCGTCTCACCAGTTGGTATACACCCAAGCGATGGGCTCGAATTTGGAATCCCTACATAATAGCTTTTATCTGATCCTTTTCTCTCTACGTAGTTGTCGTCGATTGCTTCATGGTGTCTTCGCCATTTCTCCTCCATCATGTCTAACAGCGTTGCTCCAGAGGCTGTAATCGTATGTTCCATGTACTTTTCTTTTTGGCATGACTCTGCTAACGTATCTGCAAAGCCTATCGAGGCGACACTTATGGCCTTGGCCATATTCTTGGCTTCTGGTCGACTGGTTCCCCGCCTTTTACAACGACAGTATCCTACTGTTAGCGACAGTCTCCTGATAGCGTCTATCCTGGATGCCATCGGCCTTTTCGTCACCGACTACCTGACGTACATATGGGGTGGCATGACGGATGATGCAGAGGCATCGACAGCTCGTGTGATTGCTCTCAAGAAAGTGCAATTCGCCGGCAATGCATTCTACGACACTGGCATCTACTGGCCAAAGTTGGCAATTCTCGCGCTATACTATAGGCTCATCCCTCCGACGATGCCGTGGTTGCGAAAAGCACTTTACGCAGTGACCCTTTTCACTGCAAGTGCCATGGTATCAACATTCTTTCTCGACACTTTCTGGTGCGGGCGCCAGGTTTCTTCGAATTGGTCCCCTGATGAGGCAGCCTGTAATACCTTCAGCTCCAAAGAGGTTTTCAGGATCGACTGGAGCCTTAATATCACCTCCGATGTGTTCAGTGAGCAATCCTGTATCATCCAGAAATCGCATGAATCACTAACGTCGGACCAACAGTCTTCGCGTTGCCATTCCCCCTACTTCGTTCACTACAGCTCCGGCGTCGCCAGATCTGGGGTCTTGTAGCGACATTCTCACTTGGTATCGTCACGATAGCAATGAGTGTGCTTCGATTCGCAACGATAGAGGTCATATATGCCTGGACCAACGTCTGTTAGTGCATGCAGCCAAACACAACTTGAACTGTCGCTAACACATGTATAGACGTCCTTTCCATGACCGAAATGGCCGTCGCCATCATGGTAGTCTCATTGCCGTCGATGAGATCTTTCCTACGACGCGGCAGTCTCTTCTCCTCGAATAAGAAATCGCACTCTTCTGGGTCTCGCACATATGGACATCAAACACCAGCATCCGGGTCGCACAACTTTTTGCGTCCTTCCAGAAGAGGCAAGCACACCGCCCGCGTGCACACCGATGAAGACTCGGGCAGCGAAGTAGAGCTGAACACCATGTCAAGGAAAGATGTCATCTACGAGACGCGTCGCGTTAGCGTGCAGTTTTCAAAGTCGCCTGATGAGGAACACGAGATTTCTGCCAAGTACCCATGAGGGTGGTTCAGGAGTTAATTCCATGGAGATGTAGCTAGTCGCTAATAGCAGCAAAAGCAAAAGTAATTCGAAGGAATGAACAAAATCTGTCTGTACGAGGTTTAGCAGCCGGGTCATCTCAACATTGTAGTGTTACTTAATAGACCCTTGCCGTTGGGCTGACCACTCGCATCAACCCGGAATGATTGCGCTACCATCCCGCCCACTGCGGTCCGCACACGCCACCAAAACGCCGCCGAGCGGTACATTCTTCCAGCCGAGCCGCAATAGTCCATGGCTCCGTGAGTTTCAATCACCTTTGCAAATACTCTTGACTGTGCCGCATTGCTGCCGTTGAAGCTGTGGATCGGCATTGGCCGAAGGGTCTGCATGCGGGAGGCCTCGTTTGGCAAAATTCATCCACCGGTTCGCCTAACCGAACACCAAAGGAAGCTACGATGCTTGACCAAGCTTGTCAGCAGCGAAGGGCCGAACAAAACATAACCACGAATTAGAGGTTACACAGCCTTGATGCTCAATCAGATATCCATCGCACAACCCAGGAAACAAGAACTCATACGCTCGTCCTATGCGCCTGAAAAGCCCCTCCCACCATGGACCGAACCCACCGACACGGTACAGCCGTGTGTAAAGCGCAAGGATCACAGTTGGAATCAGCCCATCTAACACGGCAGCCAGAATGCCTCAATTACAGGCAAACTTCCGCGCGCCTGCATGCAGGGCTCACCCATTGCCATGCGATTCGACAATTCGAGGACAGAAGTCCGACCCCCGTTTCGCATGATAGGCGGTAGAATTCTTCGCCCAGCCATACCCTTAGAAGCTATGGTATACTGGAAGCGCGGCAGAATATAGTACCCTGCATGCTATGGGAATTGGCTCAATATACATACTCCTTGCAGTACGCTGATTGAAGCGAAGTGCGGCGCAACTATCTATCCATCGGCTTTTATCCTGACTGTTTCGTGACTGTGTCTCTGTCACACCACAGCACAGGACCAGCGAAGATGGCACACTACATTGATGGGAAAGACTGCATGGTAAGTTAGTTGGTGATAACAACAAGCTGATCTACGAAGAGGAAACACGGTGCTGACTTGTCACAATGTGATAGATCTCAGAATGGATCCTCCTGATCTTCGCATACTGTTTCGTTGCGGCGCGCATGTACACGCGTTTGTTTCGTCTGCGGTCGAAGTTGGACGCGTCGGATTATTTGTTGTTGGCTTCTGCACTGGTTGCGTTGGGATTGATCATTTGCGATACGCTCACTTATCAGATGGGTGTGCTGGATGAGTATGAAACGTCAGTGAAGTTGTCGAAGGTAAGTCGTCCTTCTGGTAGTCACACTCGGTGCGCATCTAATTCGTTGCGCAGATCTCATTCGCCTCGAACTACTTCTACGATGTCGGAATGGGTTTCCCCAAACTCAGTATGCTCGCGTTCTACTGGGCGTTCTTCAACCTCGCTGGTCACCCGGGACTGCGCAAGATGCTCTTCGGTATCACGGCTTTTGTCGTTGCGAGCTACTTGACTATACTCTTCGACGATACTTTCTTCTGCGGCACACCGGTGTCTGTGCAGTGGTCTCAGGAAGAGGGCGCATGCTCCGTTTTCTACGCGCCAGAGCCGTTCATATTGAACTTTACCCTCAATCTGGCTTGCTACCTGGCGGTCTACGCGGTTCCTGTTGTGCTCCTCATGAAAGGTGTGTTGAGGTCGTCGGCTGGTGTTGGTCTTACATTCGCGCTCGGTGCGCTTACCATCGCCTCGAGCATTGTGCGCTTCGCATGCCTCAAGATTGGAACAGGACAGGAAAACCTCGTTTGTAAGTTCGCCTTTCCGCCTACCACGTACGTTATGCGCGACAATAAAGCTAACTTATTCGCTTGTAGATCCTTTGAGTATGGTGGAGATGACTCTTTCGATCATTGTTGTCGCGCTGCCGGGACTGAAGCCTCTCGCGAGGAATACCAAGGTCTAGATGCTGGACAGATGGTGGTCAGTGTGGGGAAAACTGATTTGCGATTATCAAACATAGACTGGAGCGGCAAAAGACTTCGAACTGGCCTTAACGCTCGTAATATATTTCTAGAACGGTCGCGTGCTCAATATTGGTGATACGTTTATGCTGTGATGAGCCGCTGTGTAAGGCTGTGAGACAAGCTTCCAGCGGGTGGAATGTAGCACCTTCCTAGCGCGGTGGTGCCTTCCTTCTGATCAGACGCGTAAACATACGCCACTGTCTACTACGGCACTGTTCCTCTGAGTTTCGCTCTTGAACTAATCTACTCGTGTATCTCGCACCGCGCTACGTACACTATATCTCTACAAACCCCGAAGCCATTACCACTGGATTGTGAACGGGTATGTCGTTAGCCGCAACGCCTTCCCACAGCCAACACCAACAGCATCGGATTGGCGGCCTCGCCACGCTCAGACGTCTGACGCGAGACCTCAGCTCAACCTTCTCAAGGCATTTACAGGCTACATGGGACGCCTTAAGTCGCTGGATAGCCTCATCAATCTACGCCGAAAGACTGCTATCTGGAAATGAGATTCGTGTTCTCCACATCCGGCCCTCTTCTAGACGAAGTCGACGACTAGAATGCGAACTCAAGCTTGTCAACCTCGATGAATCACCCGTCTACAACGCACTATCGTACGTTTGGGGGACTGATCCACCCAGCGTTACGATCGTATGCAACGGTCAACGTCTCAAGATCCGAGAAGAACTTTCGCATGCTCTTGTACGGTTGAGGCTGGAAGATACCACGCAAATCATCTGGGCTGATGCCCTTTGCATCAATCAGGACGACAACCAAGAGAAAAACCATCAAGTTCCTCTCATGAGCAAAATCTTCTCGCAGGCAGCGAAGGTCAACGTCTGGCTCGGTCACGGTGACGAGATCGTCATCAGAGAAGCATTCGAGTGTTGTAGGTTGGTCGCGAACGCATGCTGGGATTTCAGCTTGGAACATGATATGGATCTGGACGATGATGAAACCCACGGAGCAGTAAAAGTCCCAATGACCATCTTCACACCTGTGGCATGTAGTAGTCTGACAGATCTGTTCGAGCGCCCGCTATTCTCAAGAGTTTGGTGTATACAGGAAATCAAGTTGGCGCAAGATGCACTGGTAGTCTGGGGCGAACAATACTTGCCTTGGGCGGAGGTCGGTCTGACAGCGTTATGGATTTTCAACATGAGTTATCGGATGGCCAACAGCGATGAAGCCCCAAGAAATCTACTAAATGAGATGCGCACAGGGAAAGTAGACACCATTTACGAGTTGAATCCTGGTGGTTGGTCACTTCTCGAAACATTATCGAGATTCCGCGATTTCCAATCAACGGACCCAAGGGACAAGGTGTACGGTCTGATTGGTCTTGCTGGTTCTCCGTCAGAAGGAGGTCTAATGATGCCAGACTATGAGAAGAGTACAGCACAGGCCTTTACCGACACGGCGTTGCACACTATCACTAGTACTAAAACCCTGATGGTCTTTACGCACGTAGCACACCATGCAGATTACGACGGAGATTACGAATACCGGTCATGGGCACCACGTTGGGATATTCCTCACAATAATACTTTTATAGGTCACGCCTTCGAGACCCTTGAACATGGCGCCTGTAACGGACGTGAAGCCCGATTCGTGCTTACGAAACATTCCGGAAACAAGCAGTTGTGCCTCACTGGCATCTTTCACGCCAAAGTAATCACAGTTGATATTGTATTCGACATGTCAAAGTCTGATAGACTTCAAATGTATCAACAAGTCGTTGAGCTTTACGAGGGGATCGATTGGAACGCCCCCATGAGCGACGTGGCTTTGCCGGTGCTAGCTCGGACATTAAGTACTGGTCATAACATGACAAGTCACTATATCAACAGACTTGATAAAAAGTCACGTCGTGCACACTACGCAGCATTCAGACGCTGCCTTGAATGGTATCGTGACCCAACGGCGGACTTTGACAGCTTGCGTGGCGACGCACTCGAATACCACAATCAACTAAGACGCTGCAGCCGGAACCGTCGCTTCTTTTGGACATCGAAAAAGGACTATGGTATTGGTCCAGCATGTATGCGCGAGGGCGATATCGTCGTGGTGCTCTATGGGGGTAGTGCGCCATTCGTGTTGCGACGGAAAGGCGACAAGTTTCTCATGCTAGGCGAAGCATATGTCGACAGTATTATGAACGGTCAGCTCGTAAGGGAAGTCGAAGAAGGGAAACGGCAAGAGCAAGAATTCTGTCTCATCTAGACAAGCGGCGTTACTCAGCCCTTCTGCACGTGCAGGCGCTACATCTCCGTCGACAATCGTCACCCCGCGTTCCCCACACTCCAACCTCCACCATTCTACAGCACAAGCATCAAGCCACGAGAAGAATTGCACTGGGCGCTTTCTCGGCGAGCCGTATGCCGATCAGCATTGCAGCGTGCCTCCACCGTGTTCTTTTAATCTATCACGTTCCTGTCGCGTCGCTAACAACCCTGGCCTTTAATATGGAAAGCGGAACATCAACGCGGAGACGTCATGGGACCTTGCGCGAAGTGAAAAGGACAGAACGCAAGAAATATGGGTGATGGAATATATAGCTGGGGTTGGGCTATGATAGCTTTCGGGCTCTACACGCAATTGAGACTCCGTAACCTCTACGACTGCATCCTCAGATCGTCTGGCATCATTCCACTTCGGCATATAGACCCTCAATTGATAGCAACATGAGACTCTTCTCGCTCCTACCACCAGCGCTCCTCGTAGCGGCCGCCTACGCCAGCGAGGACACCTCCTCCTCCCCAGCAGCCGACGAACCCACGCCCGTAGGCGCCCTCTGGACCGCCCAGTGGGACGCCACAACCCTCTCACCCTACACACAGCACTGCCACTCCAAAAACACCTACAACGCCAAAATCTACAAACTCAACGAACTCTACCCCGACCTAAAAGACGCCGCCCCCCAACTAAAAGTTTTCTACAACAAGCAACTCTACGCGGGGTCTTGGGGCGGCATCGACGTGCACGGCACCGGCCGCGAACTCATACAGATGAACATGGCAGACATGCCGTATAAAGTGCGGGAGTGGCTGAAGACCGAGATGCTGCAGAGGCATTACAGTGTGCAGGATGATATGGTGTTTTTTGCGCCGGGCGCGATTTACCCGATTTTGCCGTTGTGGGTTGATGATAGTGAGGAGGCGGGGTGTGAGGGGGTGTTTGATGGGTTGGAGAGTTACTCTAATGAACCGAGGGATGGGGCGGTGATTGGGAAGGTTGGGCATACGAATACGGGGGAGAAGGAGGTTAGGTTTACGGTGGAGGCGTTGAAGGTTAGGGCGAAGGGTGAGAGGAATGAGTTGTAGGACGTGAGATGGTGGTGGGACTTGTCTTTTATATTGTTTTAGTGGGAAGCTCTAAGAGGACATTCATGTTGTTGTGCTAGTTATGGTGTTCGTTCTTGTTTGACAATACATCGCTATGGGGTATCATTAAATCAATTCCATGGATTCAACGCCGTACAGAGCACTTTATATCCCGCGTGGTAACGAGGCGATGCCTTTACATGACAACATCGAACATGTGTCCTTCATGCTGTGCAGGGCAGCTCTTCGCTTTGTGTCCTACCTCTTTGCAAACATAACAAGCCAACGGAGCTTTCACCTTTGGCTTCTTGGCTGGCTTGCTTGTCTGCTCGGAAAAAGACACGTTCGCGGTACCGTTGGTGGGAGGTAGAATGGAGGGTTGATCAATTAAAGTAGGGACGTTATTGACACCTTGGCCCTCCGGAGGCGCTGGACGTAAAGCTTTCTTCTTTGGCGCTTTGATTGGTTTAGCAGGCTTTTGAGGAGCCGCGGCGTCCATGGAAGGTGCAGTGGCCTCCGGAGGTACAGCAGTGGTGTCGTTTGCGACCTTTTTTGCTTTCGGTTTACGAGGTACTGGAAGCTTAACCACAACCTTTGCGGGTGCAGGTGTTGGTGGCGGCGGTTTACTAGTCACCTCAATCTTGGGCGCAGGCCCTGTACTAGCGTGATATTGGGTTTTATTATCGGCGGTGGTTTCGACAGGCTTCATGGGACAGTCGCGGGCGAAATGGCCTTGCTCGTTACAGGTGTAGCAGGTGGCTGGTGGACGAGTCGCCTTCTTCTTGGTCTTCCTGGAAATTGCTGAATCGGTGGCGACCGAGGGCTCCACGGGCGGCGTGTTCGTTGACGAGGGTTCCAACACCTGCTCTACGTTCTCGTACCCGTTCGCATTGCCTGCTTCTGCGAAGGATTCGGCTTGTTGTTCTGCAGCAGCCTTTGCGTCACGCTCTGCCATTTCCCTGTTGAGACGCTCGACCGTCTCCTTGGTGACACGTTCTATAGTCTCCCTAGTAACACGTTCCACTGTCTCTCTGGCCACGCGCTCTAACATTTCCCTGGCCTCGCGTTCTGCCGTCTCTTTTGCTTCCAGTTCGGCGCGAAAGTTGGCCTCCTGTGCTGCGAGTACCTCGGCCTCTCGTTCTTTGGCTTCACGTTCCGCACGCTCTTGAGCCTCCTGTGCTGCACGCACCTGGGCTTCGTGTGCTGCGGATTCTTCAGCTTCCCGTATCTCACGCTCCTTCGCCTCGAGCGCAGCAAGCTCCCTTGCCTCACGCTTGGTCTTCGCTTTCGCTTCTTTTTCAGCCTTTTGTTTTGCTTCTTGCTCGGCAACCTCTTGGACTTTCTGGGCGTCTTGTTCGGAAGCGTTCAGTTCTTGGACTTCGTGACCATCTGCTATTTTCTCTTCAGCAACCTTCTTCTGTGCTGCCTTCTCAAGAGCGGCCCTCTCTTTCGTGGCCTTCTTCCGAGCAGCCTTCTTCTCCCTAGCTTCCCGCTCACGAGCCTCCTTCTTCTTTTCGGCTACTAGACGGGCAGCTTCTTGCGCAGCTGCGAGTTCTCGTGCAGCTTTGGCCGCTTCAGCCTTTTCTTTCGCCGCCTTTTCTTGCGCAGCCTTCTCTTCAGCTTCTCGTGCGAGCTTGGCTTGTGCTTCACGCTCTGCTTTTCGTCGTGACGCCTCGGCTTTGCGCTCCTGTTTCTGTCGCTGGGCTTCTTCCTTACGCGCAAGCTCTTCCGCTGCCTGCTTTGCGGCCTCCTCTTCCGCGTTGTGTGGTTGCTCTGCCTCATCTCCATTGGTTTGCTCCTCGTCCTGGTCTCGCTCGACCGAGTCGGATCCTTCCGGATCAGAGTGGCGTTTAGTCGTCTGAGGCTTCTTTCCGCCCTTGCCTTTCTTTCCCTTCCCCTTCTTTGGCGCCACGCCAGTGCCGTGAAAATTGAACGGGTGAATTGGGGATGACGCTTCGATCTTCTTCTTGCAACCTCGACAGGCAACAGCTCCACCACTTGGACAGCGATAACTGTATTCCTGTACGTGAGCGGCGCAAAACAGGCAAGTTTGTCTCCCCTTCTTCCGTTCCCACCCTAGATCCATAATGGAGTCGTTGTCGGGACGTAACCCAGCCTTCCGGAGTTCAGAATCATAATCGCGTTGCAAGCTGATGACCCATAATTGCGCCATGGCGCGCTTCTTTTCTGGGTCGACGATACGTATACCATCACCCTCTGCTTGTCGAGCCGCAGCCGCCTTCTTCAGTCGCTCGATACATTGCTTATTGATGTCTTCGATTGCCGATTTCCTGGCCCTCTCTTCAGCGTTACGTCTAGCCGCAGCTTCGAAGTTCTCGCGCCGTCGGAGCAATTCTGCCAAGAGGATTTCCTCCGGGTCGTAGCTGTCAAAGCCATCAAAGCCACCACCGAAGCGGCCACCTCCAAAGCTAGGGCCATAGCCGCCAGAGTAGTATTCGTAATCGCTGTCGTCGTCGTACTCGTACTCGTATTCGTCCTCGTAGAAAGCCTCTGCCTCTGCCCACGCCTGCTCCTGCGCCGCCCTTCGCATGGCCGCCGCACGGCGATCCGATTCGGCCTGAGCACGAATCCTCTCTGCGGATTGCTTCTGCCGCCATGCATTCGGGTTCCGCACGTATTCGGCGTGTTCCCTCCTGTAGGTGTCCCATTGTGTCCGTATACTGCTATACGACTGATCGTAGCGCGCTTTGCCTTTCGGATCCCTCAGGATGTCGTAGGCTTCTTGGATTCGTCGGAAGTCGGCTGCATCGACAGCTTCGCCTGGCGCCTTCTTGTCAGGATGATGGAGGAGAGCGAGGCGGTGGAAGGCGGTCTTGATCTCGGCACTAGAGGCTGCTGGGCTCACTTCGAGGTCCGCGTACGCGTCTGGTAGCTTGGGCTTCGCGGGGCCCTCCATGGTTGAGATGGAGTATGGATTGTCGTGGCTGGGGGGCGGGTGGGTGGTGCGGAAGAACCTTTCTCGCGGAAAAGTTGAGCGTGTAGCCCTTTGAAAACGGAGTGTAGGAACGAGTACCTGCAGCCTCACAGCGATTCATCGCTTTGGACGCTCGAAACTTCTAGACAAACGCGTCGTAGCGTGGTGGCAGGGGGCGCACGGATCAAACGCGTTATCAGGTGCTCTTATCTCCTCACTGTCACTAGTGGAGAACCTGTGGATCTGGTCTACCCCACACGCGACTTCCAGATTTGCTTGTAGCTGAAGCGAATGCATTACTACTTATGATTTTTTTTTAGATTTCCAAGGTGTATGTGTAGGCAAGATGTTGTTCCAAAATAGTAAATAAGCAGCCGCCCTCTACTTATTGGTCGCAAAAGTCGAAAAAAGAGTAGTTGTCAACGCATTACTACTTATAACAGTATTCTCACAAACCATGAGACGAGATAGCGCCCAGAGTGTGCCCTCACTCCACAGCCTTGACCTTACGATCACCCTCATCCCCATGCGCATACGCATAAGCATCAATACTATGTTTCGCAAACGCCCTCGCAGGCAACCCCTCAGCAAACATAATATCCAACTCCTCATACGTCCTGCCCTTCGTCTCCGGAAGACGGAAGAACGTCCAAACGAAAAAGATCAGTGCGCCTCCACCCCAGAAGAAGCCCGTCTTGCCCTTCCAATCACCCGCCGTGGGGTTCAACATATACGGATTGATAACGTTGGTGAGAATCTGGGCGATGTAGTAGCTGATGCGAGCCAGACATACACTCTTGCTGCGAAGACGCGTGGACGAGACTTCTCCGACGATGGCATAGCAGATGGGTCCGACGGTCATGTAGTACCAGAAGAGCCAGATGATCATCATAGCAGCTTGGGCGTAGTTACCGCCAGATGAGTCGCCGGCGCCTACGCTGATGAAACCGACGATGAATAGGATGGTTGCTAGACCACCGAGGCCCCAGAGGTAAAGCTTTCGACGGCCGATGTAGCTCATGAGGACCCAGGAGATTAGTGTGCCGACGGATGCCATGCCGAGACCGCCAACGGACATCTTGAAGGAGATGGAGGTGGACACTCCTGCTTGGACGAAGAAGTACGTGGGTGTGCCGCCCATGACCGAGCCACAGATGGGTTGGGCTGCGAAGACCATGCATGCGATTTCTGTGCGGCGGCGGTCGATTCCCTTGAAGCATTGAAGGTAGGATGTGTTTTCCTCAAGTGACTTCTCTAGTTCATTCGTGCGGACCATCATCGCGACCTTTTGCTTAGCCATGTCACGTTGGGAGACAGACCCAAGACGGATGAGCATTTGCTCGGCCAGTTCGAGATTGCCGGTACGAACGTGGTACCATGGAGACTCAGGTGCCATCCAGAGGATTGCAAAGAGTGGGATAGGCCATGCCCATTGGATGGCAAAGGGTATACGGTATGCCCATTGTGTGTTGTTGCCTGAGAATGCGGATTGAACTCCAGCGGAGATGAGTTGTCCGAATGCCCAACAAAGGTTGACGTATACGGTGAGGTATCCTCGCAGAGCTAGCGGGCACACCTCACTGGCGTAGGCAGGCGCCATCGTCGCAAAGACACCCCAGGGTATACCGCAGAGGAACTGACCGACGAGGAGGACGGGGGCGTTGGGCGCGAAGAAAGAGATGAAGATCAGCGCGCAGATAGAGGCAAGCGATACCAGCAAGACGGGACGGTAACCGAATCGATGGATAAAGTACCCATTCGCAAACGCGCCGATGATGGTGCCCACGCTTACAGCATTGCTGAGTCCATTCTGCCACGATGCCGTTATCTCATACGTCTGAGTGCCTTGATTGAACTCTCCGTATTTGCGCGAGAAGGACGGCTGTGCGAAGAAGGAACTCATCAAGACGATGTCGTATCCTTCCATGATGATGCAGGTGGATAGCAATACCGACCAGAGCACAGCTTTGGGGTATTTGCGAATGGCTTGCATCAAGGTCATCTCGTGCTCCTCGTCGGCTGCCGCTTTGGCCTGGTCGAAGGTAACCTCATCGTGTTCCATGGTCGCGGCCTTTTCGTCCATGTCTGCCATGATGGGTCGGATTGGATCGGTGCGTGCACCAGGTATGTAGAAGCAAAAAGAAGACAACGAACCAAAGAGTCCGGACAGAGATCTCAGGAACTCGTGGTTGTGGTGAAGTATGTGGATCTACGGACATGGCCACGGTATATACATAGTCGGTCATCCTGCACCAAGCCGCTCAATCATCCATGCATGGAACATGGCTGCTACCCCAGGTTTTCTCCACCGGAACACAACTACCCCATGGGGTGCATGCCAGGCTTGGGCTGTTCCTGCAAGGGCAACACTCCGGTGGAGATGTTCCTAGGCGCGGCATTTTCCAGGAAGACGCGTGCGGGGCGTGACCACTCTACCGGTAGCGTGGATCCTTCACTAAGGCCCCCGATGGAGAAGCGCCGTGAGGCTCCGGCGTCTATTGTGCCGAAGAATACGAGAACTTGGCCGTTGCCAGTTATGGTACTACCGTGATCGTGGGCTTGCTGGCATGACCGAGGTATTGTGAGGGCGGGTGACACGCTAAGCGGAAGCTGTAAGGAACCTGTTTCCAGGATCTACTCTTCCGATGAGATGAGATGTGGTGAAAGCTTAAGGTCAGAGACGTTGCATGATACAGGCTGCATGACATTCATATTATCGCTCTTTCGTAAGAAGTCGAAGCAGATTTATATAAGACCGTTCGATGCCCCATGTGTGACCCGCGTCTTGCGCAGAAGACGGTGAATTGGCGTCTGGACTTGATGAAATCCCAGAGCTTTTGGCTAGAATTGAGATCCCTTCTTTCGCAATCCGCAACGGAGCTGCTTCATGCTCTAAACTGCCGACATTGGCAATGTATGCGGACATCTTATGCCCCATACGCACATACGTCTGTACTAGCTCATCGTCCAATGGCCGGTCAAGATGGAGGAATGATGGTTCCGGTTCCTCATCTGACTCAGAAGCAATGGCTTCAACGGCTTCGGGAAGATGCATGCAGACGCAGAAGGCCCAAAGTATGAGTGTCGCAATGTAAATCGCATATGGCTCGAACAGGCTGCTACAACTGTACCTGCGGACGTGCCAGAAAAGGGCCCCACAGTGCACCAGACACAGTCTAGCTTTGCAGTGATCTCGAATCACCCATTGCAGGACCTGAATTCGCGCCGTCGCGAATGACTGTCCGTCTTCCGCATCGACTAGCGCGGCTTCGTTGGATGCAGATCCCGATGCGAACCGCTGTATGGCGCTAGTAGGCGCAAGTATGATCAGGCGAGCTAGATGCAGCTGGAGGATAGTATGGTGCTCGAAGCCCGAGTGGCGTGCGACCTTACTATTCGCAGGCCAATGCAGGACATCCAAGCTATCACAGGCGCTGTTACGCCACTTGATGGAAGACCGCGTTGTCGGCGACCAATCTTGTTGTATGGGTGGTGGCATATCGCTACGTCGCTGTGGCGTAGATGTTGGTGTCCATGAGTTAAGACGAATGCGATCTCGGGCCACAACGTCCCGGGTATGGCGATAGATGGCACTGACAAGTAAGCCCATGCTAAACTCTCCCAGATCGACGGGTAGCCGCTTTTCCACATAGATCATTTCTAGTGCTTCCATAAAGGTAACACTTGTAAGACGCCTTTGGTTCTGTCGTACTAAGCCTGGTTGATCCCATACATCGTCGTGACATGGCAACAATACGTCAATATCGTCGAACTGTATGAGGGGCTTTGCCTGAAACTGATACACGAACATCGTATCGAGTGTCTGCTGCAGTTAGCTACGCGTCTTTCGATAACAATAAGAACAAATTACCCAAACCATCATCCCAGTACGAACCATTGCCTCTCTCGACAGCCATTCGCGAAAGTCGGGGTTTTGCTCAGGATCAGCCATCCTTGTCAGATCGTAAGACTTCTTCGTCTGAATAAGTAAACGGAGTGTGTGGCAGCCCTCTACTAGATAGTGTCGTTCTACATGGGCACGTTCTACCAGCATTTTCTTACCCGAATGCAACATGCAAGCGATATTCAGGATGCCAGCTTGTAGAATCCGTAGATCTGGGTGGGCAACGAACCGGGAACAGCTCGGGCTATAATCGACGTGCTCGTTACCTGCCGAACCTTGTGGGTCTAGTCCATACTTGCTTCGCGTGAGAATAGTACTCAGCAGACCAAATAGAGATTCGCTTGTTTGGGAATGCTGCAATAGCCGTGAGTACTTTGAGCCGATAACAGAGACGGCGATTAGCAAGAGCCAGCTCCTGGAAGCATCTTGGGCGAAGGAAGACCGCCGCAGGAAGGGAAATACCGGGTGGAAATGGTCAAAGTATTGGCGAACAGAAATTACGACTTGCTCATACTTAGGAAAGTTCGAAGCGCTCATGTCCACTAGGCTATCGCGGCTTTCAGCAGCAATGCCTTCTAGCAGGGATTGATAGGCTGCTGATGGACACAATTTGTCTTCGTCAGATGTATTAAGCGATGCAGAAGCATCATTGGCTTCCGCATCTTGCAAGTCGATGGTTTCTTCTGAGCAAATCGAGTGTTGCGATCTGCCACCGAACGGGGCTCTGGCACCTGCCCCATCAACGTAGTATCTGTTTTCCGACGTCGATGTAGATATTACGGAGGCAGTATCCTTTGACTGCTGGTCTATATCAGGTCTGATCCTATTTGGATCTGATGAGTGTGATGTTGTGGTGATCGCAGGTATTGAGGGTGTTGTTGGCGCGATAGAACAAGTCCATTGCTCCACGGTGCCATTAGCTTGGCCTCCAAAGTTTGCGAGTAGTGCATCCAGGTCAATAGGGCCTGAGTATTGGGGCGATAACCAGTTCACGTCCGACAGACTCAGACCAGGCATGTCGAATGGGTCAGAAGCGAGCAAATTGTTGTTGACGTTGCTGTTCCAGGCCCATGCATCGACAGAGGACTGTTCTATTGCATCGTTGAAGTCCGTTGTTCTGAACTCGCCATTGCTGTCTCGATTGACATTGTTCGAATGCAGATTCCCAGTACTGAAGGCGTCTGTGGACTCATTCGCGCCAGCATCCGCCGTTCTGCCTCGCGCGTTGCGGAGTGCCGGGTACTGGCAGCTATAGCCACGTTGCAAGCACCTGGAACATTTTGGACCGCGCGAACATTTGACACGATCTGAAGCGCATCGAAAGCACGCGCGCGATGCGGGAAGCTGAGTCGTAATGTCGCTGTGGTCATTGTGCGCTGCGATGTGACGGGTGAGGACATCACGGCGTGAGAAGGACTTGTGGCAGGAAGGGCAGGGGTACGGCCGTTCGCGTGTGTGGATCCTCATATGACGTACGAGATGTTCTTGCTTCCCGAAACCGCGACCGCATATTGAACATACTGCATTAAACCGCTCCTGCGCTCCGGGGGAGGTCATCGCCGGAAAGGTAGGAGCAGGTATTGTGCGGAGAGGGCGTCAATATATGCCCAGGCAGCTCGAACTTGAGGTCAGACAAAGGACAAGGCATCCCAGTCATTATGGTCACCCAGCCAAGATGCATGCGGGGGCAGGAGCGATGGGATCTAGTGGCAGGCGGAGGATGGCGTGGCTCACAACTGGGAAGTAATCACGAGCTTGGAAGGGTGGGGCTCGCACGGGCTGCAAACATCAAGGCCATCTTCGACATGGCATCGATTACTCAACGAAGAAGAGCAGGCGCGTTGGAGTCAAGTAAGCCCTAATTGAAGAATAGATTGTTCATTTAGAGTCTGTCAACATCATCCTAGACGCGCTCGAACACCGGCATAACCTCCAACGGACTCTCAACCTCAACATCCTTCCCACCATCCCACGTCTCCCCGCCCCAAAAGCTCTTCCACTTCTTACCACCCTCCAGTGGCGGAAGATAGACCTTCATCTTCGTCTGGCCCTTCGCCAGCACCGGACAAATCAAATACTTGTCTCCGTACATATACTGCTCTTCCACCTCCCAAGACCTGCTATCCTGCGGGAACTCATAGAACAGCGCCCTCATAACCGGCGAACCCTTCTGATGCGCCTCCTCCATGAGCTTCCTTGTATACTCACGTAGGTCCTCGCGGATGCCCATGTACTTCTTGCAGATCTCGTAGACGGCGGGCCCGTACGACCAGACTTCGTTGTCTGCGCCGCTGCGGCAGGATGGGCTGTCTGCGGTCTTGGGTTGGCGTGGCTCGCGGTCGCCGTGTAGGCGCATGACAGGGCAAAAGGTGCCCCATTGGAACCAGCGGACGAAGAGTTCGCGGAACGCTTCGTCGTCGGGATTGCCGCCGTGGAAACCTCCTATGTCGGTTGTCCACCAGGGTAGACCCGAGAGACCCATGTTGAGGCCTGCGGCGAGTTGGTTACGGAATGTGCCCCAGGAGGAGGAGATGTCGCCGCTCCATACGAGAGCGCCATAGCGTTGGCTACCGGCCCATGCGCAACGGACTAGGTTGACGATGTTCTTTTGGCCCTCTGCCTCCATGCCTTCGTAGAATGCGCGCGAGTATTCTCGGGGATAGATGTTGCCGATTTGTACGTTGGGGCCGAGGTGGTAGCGGTAGTTGTCGAAGTCGTAGTGTCGGTACTCTGGCTCTGCTTCATCCAGCCAGAATACTTTGATGCCTTTCTTGTAGTAGTTCTGCTTCGCTTTGTTCCACACGTAGTCCCGCGCAGCAGGGTTCGTTGAATCAAAATGAATCGTTTGGCCTTGGAACGTCATGGCTGTTCGTACACCACGCTCAGTCCTGATGAGCAGACCCTTCTCGACCATTTCCTCGTAGTTTTCTGATCGACGGTCTACAGTTGGCCAAATGGATATCATGAGCTCGATCTTCAGCTCTTCGAGTTCTTTGACCATGGCATCGGGATCGGGCCAATACTTTGGATCGAACTTCCAGTCTCCTTGCATGGTCCAGTGGAAGAAGTCGATTACGATGAGATCAATAGGGAGATTCCGTTTCCGGTACTCGCGTGCGACTTGAAGAAGTTCTTCTTGGGTCTGGTAGCGCAGCTTGCATTGCCAGAAGCCTAGACCGTATTCTGGCATCATTGGTACCTGAAATAGCCTGTCTTTAGCTTCTTACTCACCTCATGGCATGAACATTGGGACTTACCTTCCCAGTGGCATCGGCATACGACTCGACAATCTGCGCTGGTGTGTCGCCAGCTACAACCCAGTAATCTAAGACTTTGGTCGACAGCGCCTCAAAACTCATGATGTTCTTGCCAAACACCACATTGCCAATTGACGGGTTATTCCACAAGAAGCCATACCCAAGCGATGAGACCGCAAAAGGTACGCTAGCCTGGGAGTTCCGGTGCGCAAGTTCCAGTTGCGTGCCCTTAATATCAAGGTAAGGTTGCTGATACTGTCCCATTCCATAAATCTTCTCCTTGGGATCCAGACTCTCGAATCGAGCGGTAAGCTTGTAATCGCCTCCATGGATAGGATAGAATTCCCGGGCTTCGACTTCCAGCGCGCTGCATTTGGGGTCGACAATATCGCGGCGGTTACGGGCGTATTCTTCTAAGAGAACTTTACCGCTGGTGTTTAAGATGGTGATCTTGCCTCGCTTGCTGATGGTGGCTTTGACGAGGCCATTGGTCAGGGTTGCTGACTCATCGTTGCTGGCAATGTCGATGCTGGCAGTGGTCTTGGGTTGTGGAAGGAGCGCCCAGTCCTCCTGTGGCATGGTGGGCATCTTGGTGGAACGAACGCGGACTGCGTTCTTGCCCCAGGGCTCGATCCATAGCTGCTCGGCATCGTATGTGAAAACGAGGCGGTTATCCTTCGAAATGAACATGATGTATCTTTCTTAATAGCCGTGCAAAGCTTACAGATACGTGTAGCTGCCCCCGACATGGAGGGGCATAGACACGTCTTTTACATTGTAGCAGCTCCACGTACGCTTACCGATGCTACGGGTACTCGCGATTGGGAAACCCGCCGTTTGCATTTCCCCGGTGGCACGTTTCGTGAGTGAAGTCATACAACCTCCCAAGTGTGTGGAGAGGGGCTTCTCCATCGGAGTCTCCACCGGGATGCGCGCCGCGTGCTAGTCCTGGACACGTCGATCTGGCGGGGTTGGCCTTGGCATGGGGAACGCCTCATTAATGAACAACGGCATGTGCATGGATTCCTACACTATGCCGGCAGCTCCACCTATCGTACTGAATCGTAGTCTGATTTTACTTCCGCCAATAGGTCTGGACAAACTCATGTGCCCAGTCAATGACCCCGGCCTTCCAATCACCCAATGATTCCTCGACGAGCCCTTCCCATTCTCTCGCTGCCTCGTCTTCACCCTTGGCACCACCAACACCCTTTCCCAGCCACATACGCTCTTGAACCTTTCTTACGCTACCTTCCCTCTCTACCTTGATATCTGGGATGTTGGCTCCCTGCATGAGAGCAAAAAGGTTGAGTATGAGGTTCGAGGACTTGCGCAAGGTAGACCATGCTGTGTAGGAGTACTCTTTGAAGACAAGATAGTTTGGGTGCTGCACTCCGCCCATGCCTTCAATCATCTCGCGACAAAGCTTCATAGCTGGTGCGAAAGGCTTCGGGTCTCTTCCCAGAATGTATCCAAAGTCTACGTGGAAGAAGGCACCCGATGGGGCAAGCAGGAGGTTGTCGAGATGGCGATCGCCAACACCTAGAAGGTAGGTTATTACACAGTAGCCAGCGCAGGACTTAATGTAAGTGTCCATTGCCTCCTTCCGAACGCCGAGTGGTGCGCTATCATCAGGGTTATTAGCGCGCAGGTAGGCCAGTAGGGAGCCCTTGTGCTTCTGGCACGCTGCTGCAATGCTCATCGAAGGCACGAATTGGAAGGCGCCAGCGGAGGTGGAAGTAGCGAGAATACGGTAGGGTGTTAGCTTGAGATCCAGATTCTCTTTGCGAAGAAGTCGATCCATCAATGTGATGATTTGAATGACGAGTTGATCCTGCCGTAGGTCATCGCCAGTCTTGAATATGATTGGATATGGATTCGACGTCGTGGTCTTGAAGGAGAGCACCATAGGTAGCAACGATGATTTTAGAACGTTGCAGTCTTCCGTTGATATCCCGATGATGTACACAGATGGATCAAGGGGCAGAGGAAGTGGGTCGAAATTGGTGAGTTCGTTCTTCGGGTCAGCAATCGCCTTCTTGAGACGGGCAAGCTTGGTAGGCCGATCACCTCCACCGAAGCGCACATCTTTCGATATCTTGGCCAAGATGGTGAGCAGCTCGCCCTGACGCTGGAAGGTCTTGCGGGTTTCGACACCTTCAGGCGTCTTCTCCAACTCGACCATAAAATCGTATTCGACCTTGGCAAAGAGTTCACGATGCTCTGGCTCCTGATCGGTGCTGAAGTCGCTAATCTCCACCATGAGGTACCAATGTAGGAAGTTGCCCAATGTGAAGCTGTTGGCTGCACGAGTGACCAGGAAACGTGCTAGTGACGAGTCGTCACCTTCGCCTGGTGCCTCATACTTGAGTGCCTGCACCAATTGTAATAGATAGAGCTGGAGCTCTTCGTCGTCGGCCTTCTTCAACCGCTCGACAGCGTAGCTTCGTACTACGGGGTGGTCGAAGTGGGGTCCAAGAAGTTCAAGCGCGTCGTCTACATCTATTTCTGCCCACTTATCGAGCAAGGGTGCAGCTTGCCGGGCTTCTCGTGGGTTCTTCCAGTTCACGCACTTGACAAACTTAGTCAAGGCCCGCTTGTCGCGCAGCAAGAAGTATCGGAACTTCCAGATATCGTCTCGCTCGTGAGATGTGATTTCCTCGAGCGGTCCCTTAGAAAGCAGCAGATTGAGCTTGTCTCGAACGTGTACGTTGGGCTTACGGTCGCGGTCGAGTGAATCGGTCTGCTGGCTGCGCATCAACTCGCGATGCTTGTCTTCGGCAGGGTTCACCCGTCGGCCGACTTCAGGGTCGTAGATCTTGATGAGCCGTCCTGCATCTGCATCGCCGTATCCAATACCGTCGATGTCGATACCTGGTCCAAATGACACTTCGGGTGGAGGTCGCAGCCTCACATCGGCTTCGGCTGGCAATCGCAAGTCTGATACGGGGGGCGGTGGATATTCGACGTCGGAGAAGACGATGGCGTGGTCGAAACGGGGCAGTTCGATGTCGAGATAGAAGAGTTCCTGGTCTTCGCCGTCTGCAGAGCCGTTCGTTCCGTTCGTCTTGCTCTGACGGTTCAAAGCCGCAGCCTCGGCCTTGAGCGCCTCCTTCCGTATTTGCATCATCTTCTTGTATACCAGTCCGTCGAGCCAGTTGTTGGTCGGCAGATCGCCCATCTCCTGCTTCTTCAGCAGGCCTTCTAGTCTTTCCATCTCGGCGACCTGCTCATCCACGGTATCTTCAACGACCTGCGCCTTTCTACTTTTACGCGCCGGCGGTATTACCCACGGCGTTGTAGTGTTGGTCAGGCCATCTGCTGCCTTGAAACGGTGTATCCGACAGCGTTGTCTGCCCTTGTGGAGCGTGTTGTCGTTGTCGAAGAGAGGTATGGTTGTGCCACCAAAGGGCACGGCATGGAGACTCGAGTCAGTGTCTTCGGCGGGCGATAGGTCCCATATCGTGATGGCTATCTGGGCGGAGGCGGGGAGGTTCGCATACGTCACGGGGAGCTGCAGCCATTCGTTCCAGATGCGCGCGTTCTTGAAGGACTTGTAGGCGGTTTGGACGGGCACGGTGAGGGGCTTGCTATCCGCCCATATCTGCGCAGTAACATACAGCTCAAAGTTTGGGCTAGGCACTTGTCAGTACTCCTCTCTCCTCTCTCACCAGGTGAGAGGCGACCCACTTGATATTCGAAGCTCGGTGCCTAAGGTCCGGCCTCTTCAACAACACCGAGTACGGGATGGGCTTCTGGTTCCCATCTAGACGATCTCTGCATTACTCAGCACGACTTCAGTACTACTACAGCGAGGATGCCTACATTCTGACATGGACCGCCAACTCGGTCAGGTCGAGAGACGTCGCAAAGTTGAAGGCTTCCATCGTGCGCGGTGGGGAAGCTGGATGCTACGGCATGCCATGGGTGTGAGGCATGTGCAAGTCTTATCGCCTACCAGCACATGACAGGTTTCGAGGGTGCTAGCGGGAACGCCCGTTCATCGCATCGTCTGGCGGGGTGAAGGAGAGACACTTGCACTGCGCACTGGATGAAGCCATGCGGGTCAGAAGCTCCACAAGCCGACGCGCATGCAGGGGTCCGCGAATGGAAAGAGCCCTTTCGCGTGCTGCACGGCTTGGCTGACGAGCGCGGTCGCACTTGCCTCTAGCAAGTCGCGCTAGCCTCTGCACATTCGGCAACCGCGTCCCAGGCACAGGACATCGCCCGCATCACCACCACCATTGCCCTGCCATACCCCTCCAACACGCCCTTAGTCCCTTTCACTTTCACGACGCGGCATGGCGCGTCTCAACACACACCTCTCGGCTACCCCCCAGACACGCGCTTCCACCGTCGACTCTCTTTATCGCGACCCCTCTGTGGCGCCCCGGAACGATAGCAATGCGCGCACCACGTCTTATTCCGTCCTCAGCCCAACGCGCTCAATGAACTCGGACAAAGAAAATGAGCAGCCTGAGACACGCGCAAACACTCCGCGACGAGGCAAGGCTGGCGGCATGCGCAGCGCGTCGGTGCGCATGCCGACACCCGACTCGGGCTCAACAACTGGTAACGGCAGTAAGAGGAGGAGAACCGATAACTACGCAATGGCTCAGCCGCACATTTATGAGGATGGAAATGACGAGCACGAGGAGGAAGAGGAAGAAGAAGAGGACATGCACGAAGTGGAAACGCCATCGCAGCCCCCACCCGAGTCAGATGAGGAAGGCGACCAGAAGTACTACAACCCAAACCAGAACCCCGAGCAGCGAAGGAGACTGCGAGCAAACATGCGCGATAACCATCGTATGCTGGAAGGTGAGTCGAGCAATTTGGTCCACGTTGCATGCACATCACTAACCACAGCAGATAATCGCGATGACTATGTTAAATCACGCGACAGCGGACTGCTTGATGCTATCAAGACACAAAACAGCTTGTTCGGCAAGGTGCGACAAACGGCTGACGCTACCGTTGACTCCCGCTTCCTCGTCAGCGCCAGCGACCTAGCAGGCAAGAAGCTCAACAACAGCTTAGGCAACTCTGGTGTAGGCATCGATCTGGATCAATTCGTTTCAAAATGCATATACTTTATGAAATCCGGCGGCCACGTCGCAGGCGAGGAAGATGCCCCCGCAATACCCGTAGGCGATGACGACGAAGAAGATCCAGATGGACTCGACTGGGCATTACTAGGTCGGCGAGCATGCTTCCCACGCAACAGGCGACCGCCAACATCAAGTTTTCTGCTCGGCCCACTCTCAGTCCAGAGGCGCGTTCGTGTGACTCAAAAGAAAGCTCGATCGCAACGGCAACCTCTCGGTCCAGCAACTCGACCCCAGGAGATTCAAACCGGCGACATTCAGCAAAATGAGAGCAACAACTTGACGACTTTGGTTAGAGGTATCAGGTCACGCTTGGCACAGCATATCACAGTTTCCCAAACGTTGGTTGAAGAAGAGCTCGGTGCAGAAGATGAGGTGACTGAGGAAGCTCAAACCGCTGCTCTTGTACGCCACAGGATCGCTATGACCAACGACCAGGAAGCCGCAGTTAATCTGCTTGATTTCGCAATAAACCCTCACGACTTTGGGCAGACGGTTGAGAACCTTTTCTACATCAGTTTCCTGGTAAAGGAAGGAAATGCCAAGATTGTCAAAGACGCAAATGGACTTCCGCTACTCTGT